CCCTCACAGATGTTGCTGTGCACTGGAAGTTTCTTTGGAACAAGCCAGGAGTCTGAAAAAGAATGGGAAACATATATGTCAGGGAGCAGTTCAGGTGGAGCTTTTTATTAATTTCATTACGTCACAGGAATACTAACTACTGTACTTACAAATGATATTTTGGAACAGTACATGTAAATAAATGCTTTACTTGGTGTCATTGCAAATAACCATGATTATAATCATTACACAAATTACATGTAGGAAACACGGCCCTGTAAAAAGTTTGTGCCAAAAGATGTATTTAAAAATTTTACAACTCAGTAGAAACACAGAATGATCAGGACATAATGATTGTGTGAGCAAAGAGGTTTTACATTTTTATTAGTGATCAAAATAAATTTATTTATTGATTTTCCTTTCATTTTCTTGCAATACAAGTTTCCGAAAAGAAAAATATAACAGGTTCTCCCCGTTTCTGTTCTTAACTTCAGTCTGTAGAGGTCACATCGTTAATTAAAGCAGGAAGTGTGCTTCAAAATTGAAAACATTCTTAACTATTGTAAGCATTCCATTCCCACATTGATGATGTGAACTCAACCTATCTCCAGTTTCTCATAGTCTGGTGATAAACAGCTAACCATCCCTCTCCTCCCAGAGGTTTGTGCCTTTGTCATAGAAATCTGCTGTTTAAAGTGGGTGTAGGTGTGAAGTTGAATGGATCAATCAGGTGCTGTCCCTTCCACTAAACAAATGTATTTTATGTCCGCTCAGTGATTTAGTTGGCAGATGACTTGCCTGATCCCTTGGCCATTGTGCAAGTGAGAATGAAAAGTTACTTGCCCAGAAGGAATATCTACTTGTTTGGAACAATGGGATGGTACTTTTTTCGAGCCCTGCTGCACTCACATTACTCAGCAGATTCTCCCTACCCAAAAAAACCCCTTCAAGCTTTGAGCCTCTGCTGAGGAGAGAGGTCAACCATATGGCAATCATGTTCTCACCATCTTATTCGTCAATCAGTGAAAAACTGAATTGCAGGCTGTGAAAACTCAAACAGAACTTGTCAGCTTGCTTGTCTGAGCAAAATTATTTGAGATAAATGTATCTATTTGAATTACATGTAATGTTGGTCAGAAACATTGAAATGTAATAATTCACCGAAAAGAATGTCCACAGTTAGTACACTGGCAACCCT